CACTGATGCAGTGCCTAAAGACCTTGGCCTGCACTTAAACACAATTGGCGCTGACAAAATTACCATCTGCCAGCTACAAAAGGCCACTTTATTGGGATTTTTAGGGTTTTACAGAAAGTAGACAGGGTGAGCAGTAGTCTAAAACCATGACATGTGAGGCCAAGCAACATTAAAGGTAGGTCAAGTTGGCAAAGAAACAACATATAGTTTGTTTCTTTCCTGAGCCTATTGTGAATGACAAGATTCTGTCTCTTCCTGTCATCTCCACCTGAAAGTTGAATGCGAATTACTTTTGCACTGTCAGTCCAATCTGTAGCAATGTAGTAAATGGAGTACAAAAAAGAATAAGGGTCCAGGTTACCTACAAGATTGCCTTCTGTACAATCCGCCTCGAACAGTGAAGTTCTCTGGGGGCATCTGCTCCAACCTGCCAGAACCCAACTGGCAACTGTCACTCGAAGGACCTTTTTATCGGCAGCCCCAAAACTGTGGAATGACCTGCTGGAAAAGCTCCAACAGCTAGATCAGCTGTCGCAATTTAAGACACAAGTGAAGACCTATATCTTCTGGCAGGCCAACACAGACATCTGGTGTGAGGGAATTGGCTGTCTGAAAGGATGTTGCCCAGGAGACACCTGGATGCTTTGATGCTTTACCATGCTTATGGGAGGCTTCTCTCATGTCCCTGCATGGGGAGCTGGAGCTGACAGAGGGAGCTCATTCGCACTCTCGCCATATTCGAACCTCTGACCTGTTGGTCTTCAGTCCTGCCGGCACAAGGGTTTAACCCATTTCACCATTGCAGTTTCTCAAGTTGCTCCTGACTCACTCACACACACACACAAACCCTTGCATCTTATGTTTAATCTTTGTTTTGTGTATTGAATATGTATTTTGAGGAAATATGTTTAACATGTGTATTTTAATATGTGTTTTTACATGAATGTGTGTTTTAACAATGTTGTAACCCACCTCGAGCCATGAGGAGAAGCGAGCAAGAAATAAAAATAATTAATTAATTAATTAATTAAAATATTGCTATGAATTAAAAGAGCTGAAGGGAATGATAATAGATAAGCTATTAACAGCAGCTAGATTATTAATAGCAAAATAGCAAAATTGGAAAGGGGAAATGACGGTACAAACTGATGAATGGTATAAAGAAGTCTGGAGAATGGCATAAACAAACATCAAATTTAAAAGTAAAGAAGGGACTATGGAAAATCAATGACTTTGAAAGTGTCTGGAGAAGATTTTTAGAAAAAAAGTATTGGGAAAAGAAGATGGGAATTTACCTCCACGTGAAGAACTGAACTTTTGGTGGGATTTTAGAAGAAGAGATGGCTCTGGAAAAGGGGAGCACAAGGATGAGAGAGAATAAAGGAGCGTGAAATGTACAATCATAAGATTGGTGAACTTATGTCACACACACACACACACATATTGTAAAAAATTAAATTAAGAAAAAGGAAAATATGCTGAAAAAGGATCAGGACTGCCTGTATCAAATTAGAATGGTTGAAAATCATGCTGAAAGCATCAGATATTGTTTGGTTTTGGAAGCTTAGAAGGTCCAGGTCTGGTTAGTTCTTGAAAGAGAGACTGCTAAGGTTATGTATGCTATACTCATATCAGATTATGTATGCTATATTTGAAGAAATGTGGGGTTGAGTGTGCAGGAACCATGTGGAAGTAGAAAAACCGCCAACATATCTGGACGTGTGGCAAAGCATTGTAGAGCCAGGGAGGTTGGTTTTGGGGTAGGGGAACAATAGTTTGAAGAAATAGGGGTGCAAACAGCAGAAATCCATTTCAAATTTCATATTGAAATTTGGATGGTCCCTGCTTCAAATCCGAATTCCAGAAGTTTTGTTATTAATGTGTTAGTTTTGTTCGATTGATGGCAATGGTGAAATCTTAGAGGCTCATTTCTTTGTCATTTTATGGCTATCAGGATGAAACTTGCTACAATTGTAGCACACGTTTACCACTGTTGCGCACATTTATGGCTGTAAGTCTGCCAAGTTTCAAAATGGTTCCATCATCCAATGATTTTTCAGAAAGTTTTTACAAATAACTTAAAAAAACAAAACAAAAGAGGTAAGCTTTTAATTTTCCTTCAATGGCAGAACATGAGAAGAGGATCATTCTTGCCAAGTTTAAGAAAGATGCAGTCATCCACTGATTTTTAGGATTTTTTTTTTCAATTTAAGCACTTTGGACGAGTCACAGAGGATTGAAAATTTCTCAGCCTCAGAAGACTGACTTTTTTTAAAAAAAAAAAAAAACAGCTATCAGGATGAAACTTGCCACACTTGTAGGACACACTTATGACTGTAAGTTTGTAGGATCTTTAATTTTAGTTTTTAAGATTTTTTTTTTCAATTACAGCCTTTTGAGTTGAGTTGAAGTAGATGGCTTAAGGGGAAACTTTAGAGCAGTGGTTCTCAACCTGTGGGTCCCCAGGTGTTTTGGCTTACAATTCCCAGAAATTCAGTATACCAGCTGTTTGGATTTCTGGGAGCTGAAGGCCAAAATATCTGGGGACCCATGGGTTGAGAACCATTGTCTTAGAGGCTGCAAAAAGGAATTGAACCTTCAATACATAGGTTCAATTCCTATGAATTAGGTAAGCATGCATAAAAATGCAAGTACCTTTTTGTTCTATTTATAGTAAACTGAGGAACAGTTATGAACAAAATGCTCAATTAATGAAACTGCTGGGTTGTTGTAGTTTTTTCCGGGCTATATGGCCATGTTCTAGAGGAATTTTCTCCTGACGTTTCACCTGGATCTATGGCAAGCATCCTCAGAGGTAGTGAGGTCTGTTGGAAGTAGGAAAAATGGGTTTATATATCTGTGGAATGACCAGGATGAGACAAAGGACTTTTGTCTGCTGGAACTAGGTGTGAATGTTTCAACTGACCACCCTGATTAGCATTTAATGGCTTGGAAGTGCCTGGGGGAATCTTTAGTTGAGAGGTGATTTGATGTGCCTGATTGTTTACTCTCTGTTGTTTTGCTGTTGTAATTTTTGAGTTTTTTAATACTGGTAGCCAGATTTTGTTCATTTTCATGGTTTCTTCCTTTCTGTTGAAATTGTCCACATGCTTGTGGATTTCAATGGCTTCTCTGTGTAGTCTGACATGGTGGTTGTGAGAGTGGTCCAGCATTTCTGTGTTCTCAAATAATATGCTGTGTCCAGGTTGGTTCACACGAATCAAGGAACATGAAAGGCACTGCAGACTACTCCAACCAGAGAAGTCAGCCATAGCAGAGCACCTGATGAACCAACCTGGACAAAGCATTTTATTTGCATTTAAAGGGGGGGGGGGAGGAAGAAATGGGAGAGGATGAAGGAAGGCAAGGCTCCAGCTTCCACTCTCTGCAGTACACCATTTATTCTTTCTCTGGATGTCTTCATGAGATCCTTAAAGCAGATTCAACAGAGCAAAAGGAAGATAGGACGGCAGTTGTAGAGAGGCTTTGGGGAGCTGCCATCACCATGAAGGAGACATGTGTATAAAGGAAACCATGGTACCAATTCTCCTGACACAAAGATACATTGCATTTTTTTAGTTAGCAACGACTCTAGAACATGCAGTCTTCATTCTGTTTCTCTACGCTGATGCAATGCAATCCTGTGGGCAACCACCAGAAGTGGCTTTGTGACATTTGATGGCATCTGGGGACCCACAGGTTGAGAACCAGTGCTTTAGAGGCTCATTTTTCTGTCATTTTCATGAAACTTGGGACATTTCTAGAACACATTTACAATTATAGGTCTGTCACATTTCATGACATTTCGCTCATCCACTGATCTTTTGGAAATTTTAAAAGTTTTTAGAAATAACATTTTTAAAAAACCAAAAAAGGTATCCTTTTGATTTTCCCCGCAGTGGCAGAACATGATTAGGGCATCATTTGTGCCAAGTTTCAGAATGTTTCACTCCTGCACTGATTTTTAGGATCATATATATATATATATATATATATATATATATATATACTCCTACTGAGAGGTGAAAACAACTCGCAGGAAAAAATGGGAATTCTGGGACTTGAAGTCCAGGATAATGGAGAGGAAAATCATCCTGTGGTTGGATGAGGAAGACCATGTGATGCAGCAAATATGGCTGTGCTCAGCCCCATGACCCCGACGAGTCAGCCAATATTGCTTTAACTATGGGGAAAAAAATGATCAGAATACAAACAAACCTAATGATTTTTTTCTCCAAAATTCCATGAGGGGGAAGGTGCTGTTTGATTCTGTTTTGGGTCTCTGGTGGCCTTCCAGCATTTTGTTTTGGAGGTTTGTATCTACAAATTGCTGAAATGGCCAAATTTGGCCAAATTCCTAATTGACTGCTGGGATTTCACACACCCCTATGAAGAATGTGCCTCGCAGCAGCCACCTTCAATAGCCTGGTGTCATAATGTACATATTCACATGGTGACCTCGTGCATCACGAGGAAGGGGAGATGACTACTCACAACCACCATGTCTACATCCACACATCAATCCCCTACCTTGGAAGAAAGGGGGATGAAAGATTGGAACCCCATTCCTCTAACAAGAATTCACACAACAGCCCTGTATCAAGGAAGGAAGGTGTGATCATCTAAAGGCAGCTACTGTGAAAGCAATAGGCAATGGTTGGCAATGCCAATTGCTGCTGCTGTGCCCTCCCAAAGTCTCAATCAAATGTGTGTCAGCCTTTGAGAGAGCACCGCAGTGGTAATGGATGTTGCCATTCTGGAAATAGTTGGCAAGGGAATTTCTAAGCCCATGGAAAGCTCTAGCCACCCGTAGTCTCTTTTTCAATTTTTCCCCTGAACTCTCTAAGACAGACCGCCTGTGCTTCCTGGAAGCTCTGGGGAGAGCAGAACAGTAGCAATGGACATCACCAAATGCTTCCCAAACCCTAAACATGTCAGACTAGGCTGTACAGGCAAGCCAAACTCAAATACATTTTTTTTTTAAAAAAACACACATTCAATTTTCTTTGGTTTTACAATTGGAGTTTATTCTTGCTGATGAATGAAGAGAAACTCCACCTGGATGTCCAAGCAGCATGGTGAACTGAAAACATGTGGATTCAGTAAAGGCATGACTAATTGTTTAGTTGGTAAAATCCTGCAAGGGCATCGTTTACAAGAGGATCTTCAGCAGCAGGAGCCCATAGCAGAGTGGTAGGACGAGCTTGGGGGAGGCTGACCCATGAAGTACATCAGGTGTGCATTCAATTTTCGTAACGATGGCTTCTCCCAACATTGGAGACCGACTACTTGATAATGAAGCACAGACAGACTCAGTTGTACAACCCTTCATGGTATATGCTGTCTCCTTTCCATCTGAATGTAAAAGAATCAGAGGAATGATCAAGAAAATCATTGTTGCCTAGTGATTTTATTAGTTTTGGTGTAACTCTGTGCAATAGCACATGGCATTCCCCCCCCCCTCCCATTCCAGTCCACACCATATGAATGTAGTTAAAATACCAGAAAATTAGATATTTTTTTTAGAAAATACCTTTTTTTAAAACTTAGTAGCAATTAGAACTACTGGTGTGCAGGCAAAACCGCACTATTTGAAGCATTGTTATGATTAGGGAGTGAGACAGCTTTACCTTTGTGGGCAGTACGTGTAAGCTGGAGTGTGATCCCTGGTCAAAGTGGTCCCTGGTCAAAGTGGTCCCTGGTCAAAGTAGTCCCTGGTCAAATGGTCTCTGTTCAAGTGGTCCCTGGTCAAGTGGCCATTGGTAAAAGTGGTCCCTGCTCAAAGTGGTCCCTGGTCAAAGTAGTCCCTGGTCAAGTTGTCCCTGGTCAAAGTGGACCCTGGTCAAAATGGTCCCTGGTCAAAATGGTCCCTGGTCAAAGTGGTCCCTGGTCAAGTGGTCCTTGGTCAAAGTCCCTGGTCAAAAGTCCCTGGTCAAAGTGGTCCCTGGTCAAAGTGGTCTGGTCAAAGTGGTCCCTGGTCAGATGATAAAACAATTGTTTTTTGATCAACCCTATTAGAAACTAATAGGGGTGGTATATAAATATAGTAAATAGATATAGATAGATAGATAGATAGATAGATAGATAGATAGATAGATAGATAGATAGATAGAGATAGATAGATGATCTGCTAGATTGTTATTTTGGAATTGTCCCTCTCTGATGGTGTCACTGGGTTCAGTTTGCACTCACACACCTGCATAATGCCACCACTATTGTTGACACCATTAACTTCCAGAGGTCCACTAAATTTGGTTGACATGCATCCTGCCCTAACCACAAAATAATTTCTCAAGAACAGAGTTCAGCAAGATCTATTTTTTCTAGATTGATCTGGTATCCTGGAAATGAACCATGGATTGTTGTCTAGATTCAGTTTGCCTTACTATAGGCTTTACTATCTAAAGGTGAAGGGAGTTCCAGCCTAACAGATCTGGAAAACTAAAGTTTCCTATAGTGATTCTGGGGCTGTAAATGTTGCAAGTGCAAATAAATTTGGCATTTAGCATGGTGCAGCCACTTTGGTTAAATGAAGTGCCTTTACATGTCTTTTGTAAGAGGGAAGAGTAGCAGTCTCCATCTATATCAGGACCCAGATAGCACTGTAGCTAAACCTAAGCTCACATAAAGAAATAAAATTTAAAAATAGAGGAGAAATCAATTGCCCATTGAATTAAACTTACCAATCTTTACTAACGTAGACACATCGAAACAGAAATGCTGTGATCCAAAACATGCCACAGTCTTGTTGCCACATTTTTCAAAAGCAGTGTAGCATGCAGGGCATACTTTCCCATTTAACACAAATTCTTTTGATGGTGCTGGAAGCATAGGATAGGGAAATGGATTTTCAGTCAGTTCAAATATTGGTGTAAGAAAAGATACAGCGCTCTATTTCTAAATAAGTTTTATAAATGACAGTAAAAAATCAAATAATTTATAAAGATGGGGCAGGTATTAGTACAACAAGGTTCAACTTTGCTAATGAGTTAAAAAATTATACATTGGAATACAGTCATCTCTGAGTCTATAGCTTTATGTGCATAACTAGACACAGGGTTTTCTTGGCATGATTTACTCAGAAGAGAACTTTCTTTTTGATGTAAACACTGACAGCATATAGACTGAATCCTATTAGTTCCAATTAGAGTAGATTCATTATCTCAATAGCATTTGCGTACATGTTGACTTACCAGTCAACAATGATGATTTACCAGTCAACAATGTTGACTTATTTTATTTATTTATCATGTCAGGAGTGAACCAAACAATTGTATTGCATTAAAAAACAAACAAACAAACAAAACACAAAATTTGCAAATGTGGTATTCAATTAAATGTTCTTTGACCAGTAGCTGGCCACTTGGAATGCCTCTGGTGTTGCTGCAAGAAGATCCTCCATTGTGCATGTGGCAGGGCTCAAGTCGCATTGCAGTAAGTGGTCTGTGGTTTGCTCTTCTCCACACTTGCATGTCATGGATTCTACTTTGTAGCCCCATTTCTTACCAGTCAACAATGACTCTAGTTAGGAGTAATAAATAGGGCACAAGCATTTGCCTCCTCTCTTCTCCTTCTCCATCTCCTTCATTTAAACAAGTATAAGTCACGACACTAAGGAACCCATCACACTAGAGAATTAATCCACTTTAAGTCCGGTTGCTGCCTCCTGCAGAATTCTGGGGTTTGTAGTTTAGGGAGGAGCCTTTAACAGCCTCACTAAACTATAAATGCCAGAATTCTGCAGGAGGCAGAAACCAAATTTAAAGTAGATTAATTCTCTAGTGTAATGAAGTATTAAGTAACCAAATAAACATTTTTTCTTTTTCTATGAGACATTGTTCCATGAGATGTGATTCCTTGGGGCACAGTGTCAAAGGAAATGCCTTAACACACTCAGCTTTTTAAAATTATGTACAGGATTTGTGGGAACCCTGAGCAATAATCTTAGCAACATTAAATGTTTTTTTTTAATGCCTGGTATTTGTTTATATTTTATTTCAGGATGTTATTATGCTTTGTGTGATTTTTGTCTTGCATGTTATGTTAAATATGCTTTGATTTGTATTGTATTATGTTGTGAGCTGCTTTGTGTCCAGTTGGGGAGAAAAGCGGGATATACAAGGGTATTCAGAAAGTAAGGTTACAAGGCACATGGCTCTTCCAGGGAATTTTCTTGGGAGAAGTTGGCATCATTGCTGTGTAGCAGGAAGCCAGAAGAAGCAAACGAGCAGTGCCAGTCATCAGTAGCTCATTGACTGGCGTTGTGTTGAAGGTTAGAGAAGAGCATCCTCACTCTGTTTCCCTTCTGTCTGTCTCCTTCATGACAGTGTGTGTCCGCACACCACTCATGCAACACAAGAGTAGTTGATTTCATTTGGTTGGAATGTTTTAAGCCACCCCTCTCACAGCCCCGACCTTGCACCCAGTGACTATCATCAGTTCACTCAATTGAAGGAGCACCTGGGTGGAAAACACTTTTCTGACAATGAGGAGTTGGAAATCGAAGTGACGAACTGGCTGAAAATGCAGAGGAAAACTGTTGTATGACACAGGCATCAAAAACCAATCCCACAGATGACAAAATATATTGAACTGAATGTGATTATGTGGAAAAATAATGTAATACCTATGCTACAATCCATGTAAGTTTTATTAAAATATATTCATTCTTTGTATTATTATTTTTTTAAATATATTTTTGTAATGGCATGTCTCTATCCTTGGCAGTTTAAATACATAGTTCTTCAGTTTATTTATTATTTATTTATTAACTACATTTCTATACCGCTTTTCTCACCTCTGGGGGGACTCAAAGTGGTTTGCAACATAATAAATGGCAAATTCAATGCCTCACATATATAAAAATATCATATATCTAAATCAATAACATATAACTGTAGATAGAAAACGTTAAAACTATAAAACATCAAACATAGACATAAGCATGAAACATATTATTGCTGCAATTAACAATGTAGACCCCTTCTCCCTCCCCCCACTCCCCACTCTCTCTCCATAGCGTTTCAGCCCTTCTTTTTATACCCTCCCTGTTGTTGTTGTTGTTGTTGTTGTCGTTGTAGCACATTGGAGCATACAGAGTACAATGTTCTATAGCAGTGGTTCTCAACCTGGGGTCCCCAGATGTTTTTGGCCTTCAACTCCCAGAAATCCTAACAGCTGGTAAACTGGCTGGGATTTCTGGGAGGTGTAGGCCAAAAACATCTGGGGACCCCAGGTTGAGAACCACTGTTCTATAGGCATAGGTCAATGTAGCACTTCTCCTTCCCCAGTAACCTCTTAAGTCCCAGGAGGCAATCTCATTGCCAGTAATTAGGAAGGAGTGGCACAACAGTGATTGAAACTGAAATTATTATCCAAGAGTTCTAGGAGAATGGCTCCAGAGCAGCAACTATTGGGACAAGTACTGCCCCTGGCTGCCTTTCCCCTCTCCCCTAGACCAGTAAATAGTCCCAAGACTACTCTGCAACTGTCTTGGCATGGAGGTTTCGGATGTTTGGTGAACAGTTAAGGATTAGCACAGATATTGTACATTGGCTGCTTAATTATGTCTACATAACAAAGAGAGATCTCCTGATCCAATCGCCATCCAGCCCACCTAAAGAACCAGCAACCAGATCAGGTAAAGAGGTCATTTCAATATCCAAGATAGAGGACGCTCCCCGCTCCCGCACTCTTGCCAGCAATTGAGACTGAAGAAAGAACTTGAAACTGGGATTCTGCTCCTGACTATCACTGCTTTGCTCACTGGTGTAAAGGAAGGTTGAAACAGCTATCCTCCTTGCACTCCAATCAGAAACTGAATGGAGCACCTTTGCTTGCTCGAACTTCTAGCTCAGGTGGCATTCATGTAGTTTTAACAATAGACTACAAAGTAGTGGATCCATGACTCTAAATTAGAAAGCCATTAAGCCATACCTTCAGTAAAGGACACTAGCCTAGATTTTTATGCAACATCCAAAACCACACATACCATATGTACTCGAAGATAAGCTGACCTTTTCAGCCCCCCCCCCCTTTTTTTTTTGAGCTGAAAAAGCCTCCCTCGGCTTATAATGGGGTCAAGATCGAGGCCAGGCAGGGGAGTCTGGAGGCAATTGCTTGCAATACATGATATATTTCTCTCTCCTCTTCACCTCCCTTGATAGTGTGTTTTCTTTTCTAGTCAAAAGGGAGGGAAGGGGGAGATATATTTCATGTCCTTCTTGTTTGTATGGTTCTCTTTCAAACCCATTCAATGTCCTGGCTTTTTGTGTGTGTATCTAAATGTATTATTATTATTATTATTATTATTATTATTAACACAACAAGATGAGTCCACAGCAGACAAAATCACTCTGCTGGCTGTTGTATTGGATCAAACGTCGGGCACTTCTCTAGTGTCTATGACTGTGTGATGTATCGGTGAATAATGTGTGCGGATCCCAGTAGGGTGGCCTTCTGCAGCTGGCAAATGGTAATTTTGTCAGCGCCGATTGTGTTTAAGTGCAGGCCAAGGTCTTTAGGCACAGCACCCAGTGTGCCGATCACCACTGGGACCACCTTTACTGGTTTGTGTCAGAGTCTTTGCAGTTCGATCTTTAAATCCTCATATCGTGTCAGCTTTTCCAGTTGTTTCTCTTCAATTCTGCTGTCGCCTGGGATGGCAACATACTTTGTTTTTTAACATGATCGTGAGGTCAGGAGTATTGTACTCCAAAACTCTGTCAGTTTGAATTATTATTATTATTATTATTATTATTATTATTATTATTATTATGTTATTGTTAATGCTATATTGTTTTTTCTTGACCCTACGTTTCCACTTACAGAACTAGTTTACTGTTTTTCTTTGAAATGAGGTAAATATTCAAAAACATTTAACCTACTGATGCCTCAATTAATGTAATTTTTCTATTTTTATTTACCCGTAGCCGCTGCATTTCCCACCCTCAGTTTATACTCAAGTCAATAAGTTTTACCAGTTTTTTGTGGTAAAATTATGAGCCTTGATTTATATTCAGGTTGGCTTACACTCAAGTATACGGTATTTATTCATTACACTTGTGTGTTCACCATTATGTGTGCTTGGAATCTGTTTAGAATCTTTTGGGCTGCAGATGAAAAACTAAGAAAAACAGGGAATTGCAAGCGGGGAAAACCTGAGACAGTATGTTTACCTGAAGGAAAAGTATGTCTGCATTGTCGTCCTTTGCAACAGACCAAACTCGTCATGTAGGTTGTTTCATTTCCCATGTTCAGCACAACCATAGGAGTACCACACATGTCCAGATTTCCACAGCTTTTAACAGTGTTGGCAGACGTGTTTCCATCTGTGGTGGGGAGAAAGAAAGAATGACTTCTTTTCTGTGGCTTGCAAAGTATTTGTTGTTAAATTGAAATGGTTTGTCAAAATGATGTTCTCTAGCCTTGTGCTTTCTGCAGGATATCTGTCAATAATGGGTGAGCCATGAGGTGTTAGAGCAAAGGAAGAGGTGAGCCACCTCTCCACACAAGTCAACATTGACACTGAAATACAACACCGCCTAATCTCTGTGAGTGCAGCATTTTTTCCGAATGAAGCAGAGAGTGTCTGAGGACTGGGACATCTGTAAGGAGACCAAGGTGCTTGTTTGTAAAGCTATTGTCTTCCCAACTCTGCTATACACCTGCGAAACATGGACTGTCTAAAGACATCACACTCCTGGAATGATTCCATCAGCGTTGCCTCCAAAAAAACCCCCCTGCAAATCTCTTGGGAAGACAGGCAGACAAATGTCAGCGTGCTGGAAGAAGCAAAGACCACCAGCATGCTCCTACGCCATCAACTCTGCTGGACTGGCCACGTTGTCCAAATGCCCGATCACCATCTCCCAAAGCAGTTAGCGTACACTCAAGAACATGAAATGTAATGTTGGCAGACAGGAAAAGAGATTTAAAGATGGACTTAACGCCAACCTTAAAAACTGTGGCATCGACACCAAGAACTGGGAAGCCCTGGCCCTTGAGCACTCTAAATGGAGGTCAACCATGACTAGCAGTGGTGCAGAATTCAAAGAGGCACAAATGGAGTCCAAAGGGGAGAAACGTGCCAAGAGGAAGGTATGTCAAACCAACCCTGACCGGGACTGTCTTCCACCTGGAAACTGTGGGAGAACATCATGTGGGTCAAGAATAGGGCTCCACAGCCACCTACGGACCCACTGCCAAGGCACTAGACTTGGAGGACCATCATCCTTGGCCTATCAGGGATTGCCTAAGTCTCCTAAATGTATCCTGTCCAGTATGAATGAATGTAGGAGTTGATGCCTTAGAGATGTAATTCTTGACTATGTTTTTCCCAAAAGAAAGAGTAAGTCATTATATTTGTTTTTTCTCACTGCAAGAAAGTCTCAAAAAACTGTGGAGTTGTCAAAGAGAATTGAGGCAGAGATCCTGCTTCTGATTGACAGAGTTTAAGGGTGGAAACACCCTTCTCCTTGGCACTATCTACCACTTAAAGAAATACTATGTTTGTTTGTTGTTAACTGCCTTCTGATAAAGTAAGTTGGAAATGGGTAGAGCCATGGTTTATTAAGGATACATTTGTAGCTAAGTAGGCAGAATAGAATATGGCCCATTATTTTTCTATGCAGATATTTCTACCCCAATTTTCTGAGCAAAACAGCCATTTGCAAAAGTCTCAAAATATGAAGATCCTTATCAGTCCAGGATAATTCTCAAAAACTAAGACACATTTTTTTCTACAAGTTTTCAAATCTTTAAAATATTTTCCTATCCCTAGCATGGGAGGACATTCAGCATCAATTGAACTCCAGCTCCCATCACCATTAGCCCTCAAAGCAAATGGTAAGGGCTCTTTGGGAGACACAGTCCACTTTCTAGAGGTTGACAGATGCCCATTTTCAAATTAAAAGCTTTCACTCCCAGCTCAGTTAGATATAGAAGTTGATGAGGGATGGGAGGGATATCAGATGTTTAACTTCTCCTTATCCAATTTTGATAGCAATATATTTCCATTGAAATTACACTGAACACCTTATTGATCCTGTTGATATTAGTTCTCCTTTCCATTACACAGTGTAGTCTGCAAAACTGCAACTTGATGCAAAAGTTGCAGAGCACAGTTGACACATGCAGCCACATGCAACAATTTGCTCTAATGAACATTAATGCAGAATTTCAGTTGATATATAACAGAGAATATTCATCTTACTTAGTGCTTATACTGTACTATAGGTTAAGTCCATCCTTCCAGATTTTCAGCCATTTCCATTCCCACAGTAGGTTATCATGACTGAGTTATTGATCTGCACACAATCTATAGTGCTTACCTATAGTGCTTACCTATAGTGCTTTTAACCACTGCATAGATACACACATCTTTATCGGAAGGGCAATGCTCCCAATTACCAGAACAGGTGACATCTTCACTTTCACAAACTTCACAGACTAAGGATGCAACTAGTAAGTGAAAGAATAGTAAAACAATAGAAAAATCAAGCACATTCTTTTGGGGGAAGTTGTGAATTTATTGTGAGTGTAGTGAGTCCTCCACATCCATGGGGGATTGGGCCTGGAACCCTCTGTGAATACCGACAAAATGCAAATGCTCTGGTTCCGACTAAATATGGTATAGGGTAACAACAGAGGTGGAGAGCCTGTAAGTTAGCTGTGTCTTCCTCCAGGCAGTTCTCAGAAACAACCAGAGTGCTACTTGTGTATCCAAGCAGCTTCTGCAGGGACATTGTGAGCAGCGGCAAAGCTCCACGGTGGGTTGAATCCACAGATCATTAGACCATGAATACTGCAATCTCACTATCCCTGAAAGGAGCTCTCCAGGGTGCTGAATCTGTTTTATAAGCCTCATCCACACAGGCACTAAACTCCAGTTTGAGGCCAAGTGTCCTGAAAACATTTCCTCCCTGGGTGATCTCTGACATGGATTCAACCAGAAATAGCATAATAAAATGACTCACCAGAAATCCAATTTCCAGCTATAAAATTTGCAGAATGCATCTTGTATCTAAACTCTAAACCAAGCAAGGGAAAGATCCAAATCCCAAATACAGAGAGCAAATGCAAACAGAGCTGAAGTTGGAGCTGGTGGATTAAAATGACAGCTGCACTGTATAGCTGGAAGGGAAAGAAATGCCTCTCCTTCATCCCAGTAATGAAAGCACAGTGTTCCCATGGGGACGCTAGCCTTTACAGCCTTTTACAGCACCTGAAGCAAGCGTCGGGGAAGCTGTTTGTTTCTTGGAGGAGGTAAGAAACAAATAATACACAACTTAATTTTTATTAAGCCAGGATAATAATTATAGCGATCTGGTGGCTCTGTGTGGACTTCTTTGCAGCTTGCGGCTAATTCGTATGGTGCCTACGTAGGCACTTCAGAGTGAACTGGAGCTCTATAATCCACATTCTGACCTGGATTGATTGCTTATGTGAAAGGGTCAATAAACCATGTTTACCAACTCCAACAGCTATTTCAAAGTCTGGATTGAAACCTATTTATTATTTATTTATTTAAAACATTTATACCCCGTCCTTCTCAACCTCCACGGAGGGACTCAGAATGGCTTCCAAATAATCAACAATTTGATGCCAAGCATAATATAGAACACATAATAAATACATCCACAAAATTAAAATAATTATAAATATACATTAAGATCCCACTCACCAGATTAAAATCACCAGAATTAAAACCTAGAGTGAATGTCCAGCTGGCATTGAAGATTGATTTTCCCCTGCTATCATGGAAAAATAGCAAAACAGGAAAATGTCACCTAATGCTATAGTTGCAATCCTCTCCTCCCTGTTTTTTCCCCCAAGGAAATTCACATTATTCTCACTTTTTGTCCACCATCAAGCCAAGCTTATATTATTTCTCCCAATTCAAATGGAAAAGTTTTTCAAATTATTAGAAAATTTTCATATTGGGTTGTTGTAAGTTTTTCAGGCTGTATGACCATGTTCCAGGAGCATTCTCTAATGATGTTTCGCCTGCATTTATGGAAGGCATCCTCAGAGGTTGTGAGGTCAGGAGAGAATGCTTCTGGAACATGGTCATACAGTCTGAAAAACTTACAACATTCCAGCCATGAAAGCCTTCAACAATATAATTTTCATATTGTCTTTCATCTTGTACCCATGCCAGTCCCATGACATCTACGTAGATTGGGCACTTTTCTCTCAATGGAACAAATCTACAATTATTTTCTACCACTTCCTCCTTACCTGTGGCTATCAGTACAAAGAAAAGAAAGAGTTTCAGGACAATGTTGAAGATAACGTGCATGGTGATGGTCATAGGAATTCCAATGTGGATGAGCTAGTGCAGAATTTCTCTCATTGGTGTATCAAAGCCTGTGGCTCCCTGTGCCTGCTATAGTGTGGAAAAGATGGATTGAGATGAGTTTTTCCATTCCCACTGACTTCATAAGACTGAAACTCAGCTTCAGCCAGTTTTATTGATTAATAGCAGATTAAGGATAGAGAAAAGGAGTTGCATCATCAAAAAGAATGTTATGAATTTGATATCAAATGAGAATCAGATATAGACTTATATTTATAGTTTTGGATATTCACCCCCTCCCCGGTGCCATCCCCACTACCTATCTGTAGACCGCCTTTGGATGTTCTCATGGGTTGAGTTGAGTTTTAATAACTACTTGTATGTCATTTTTAGCTTAGATTTTAAAATTTGTTGAAGTTTGAAGTATATAACCCCTTGGGTTTGATGTGGATGTGCAGGACTGGGTCGCCCTGTTATGATCTGGTCAATGACCGTAATTTATTTATTTATTTATTTATCATGTCATCTGCAACCAGAACATTGTATTACATTTCTAACAGAACAAAACAAACAAACAAATAAAAAATGACCGTAATAAAGTTTACTTACTTACTATTGTTAGGATATGGCATAGGSTAGKMTAGSWTAGGGTGCATCTACATGCATCACAAATGATGATGTTGRTGTGGAATGGAGTAGTTCAGATCRGTGTCACTGGAGTCTGCATGGCCAGATACCAATCTGGTTTGGGAGCTGATAGTGGCTGCACTGAAGGCTCCCAAGCCAGACTGTTGGTTAGATGGTAACTGCACAACTCAGCAAGACTGGAATCAATTCAGTATCACTAGATCACCACCCTTACCTTGCTCTATCATTCTGATCTCTGTACTGACCACTGGGCACAAAAATGGCACTAGTCACCACTCGGTGGCTGTAATGATAGTAGTCAGAATGGCAAAGCAATTGTGTGAGGGAAAGGGTGGGGGAGCAATAGTACTATCATCATTAAGCATCACCAGTGCCATTTTGTGTCTGATGGACATCTCAAAGGCCAGAATGATGGCACAAGGTTGGTGACATCCCCTATCTCTGGGCTGCCAAAGTTGGGGAAAAGTGGGATGGTGGTGTAAAAAGCCACAGCTGCTTCCTGAATAGGATTTGTCACGACTGTTTACATGGATCTAATTCATGATTTACTCTTAAATTCAGGGCAACCCACCACTTTTGTTAATGTGATTCACGGCTCAGATTCAAGACATCATGTGGCAGCCGTGGAGCTGATTAGACCCTCTTCAGAATAAAGGGTCTGTGTAGATGGACCCTTAGATGCTTTTCAAAGGAGGTTGAGCCAATTCATGACTGATATATGTATCAAAGATTACTATTATGATAATCATAATGTGCACACAATCTCCAAGAAGTAATATACTTTTGAATATCAGCTGCTGTGGACGGCTTGGAAAGTCTATTGCTTTCATGTCCTACTTTGGGGCTTCCCTTGGGCAACTGGTTGACCACTATGGCAAAGAGGATGCCAAATGGTTCTACTTACTCTCCTCCTACATTTTTAAACCATAGGTCTAACCTTGACAAATTGAGGAGGTTTTTTTTTCATTCTCAGAAACCTAGGGTATTCTCTTTGCCACTTGGGAGATGCTATCCAGATTAGTTTATAGCCCATTCTTAGATATTCATTTTGAGAGAATTCTCCCCAACATCTTCCAAATCCACCACTTATATTCACATTTATATGGATGTCATCATCTTGATAGAATGAGACTGAAGACAATAGTTGCCCTTAAACTCATGCCCCAAAGAATTCCAATAACTGTAACTCAGGATTCTAGGAATCTAGGAATCCATTTCTCTTAAAGTGAAACTACAATCACTCCTCCACTTTTATGGGTGCCAGTGAAAAATATAAGTATTTCTAGACAGCTGAACCATATTCAACATACACACACTAAGTATATCTATACTGGCAGAATGGTTGTATGAAAGTTAGTCAGAGAGAAGGGGATTTTGAAGAGATTGTCCAGCTAGGAATATGAAGAGATAAGGTGTGATGGAATCCTGGGAGTTATATTGTAAGGAGTCTTTCATCATCTTTGCCAAATAGTGTTGGCACTTCAACAAACTACAGCTCCCAGGATTCCACAGCATTCAGCCCTGGTGTCCAACTGCATTCATTCTATAGTAAAACTAGCTGTGCCCGCCATGCGTTGCTATGGCCAACCTTTCCGCCTTCTTTCTCTCCTTCTTTCTTTTTATCCTCCCTTCCCTTTTCTTTCCCTTCCTCTTTCTCCCCATTCTTCCTTCTCCACCTATTCTTGGGCTGCAACTCCCAGCAGTCCTCATGATCAATCTATCTACCTAGCTACTAGCTATCTCTACCTAATCTTTCTATCTGGAGGATTGCTGAGAGTTGCAGTCCAGGAATAGGAAATTGGAAATATGCAGGGATTGGGATGCTCTCAGAGAAATTCAAGGAGAAGAAAGCTTGCATTGTGGAAGCAGTGCATTTGGATCATCTTACAGCAGTGCATTTGAATCATCCTAAAGGGCCTGGTCTAGGGGATGCTGGAAGCTGTAGTCCAGAAGAGAATGGATATGCCATTGTGCGGGGGGTTTTGCCAGGGGAATTGTTTATGTGCATGAGCTATAGCATCTTTTTGCTTTTTTGGCTTTTAAAGTCCCTTCTGCTGTGTTTTTCAGTGTTTTTATGAGTGATGGTCACTCATTGGTCTGATAGGTGTATTGTGCCCAAATTTGGTGTCAATTTGTCCAGTGGTTTTTGAGTTATGTTAATCCCACAAACTAACATTACATTTTATTTATATAGGTGGTGTCCAACTGCATTCATTCTCCAGTAGCAGAGGGCCAGCAGCAGAAGAGGAAGCAGGAGGTGAGCCCTTCTTCGGAGGAATCTGGCTCTTGGAGTGTACTAGAAAGCTGAGTGTTTATTTGTTTCTTGTTTAAAGACTGGGTGCTTGGTTGCAAGGTGGTGTGTTTGCTTTTAAGGCTTTGTGGTTCTGGTAGTTAGTGAGCTGATTACAGCTGTGCAAAACTTCATTTGGAAATCATTTGTTGGCTCTGTTTTGTAAGATTCACACATACGAAGCGATATTTACAAATGTGAGGAGTGGCCATACAAAAAACGTAAGATTCAAAACACTGACCTATGACTTTCGGATGAGTTATGTAAGTTTCGTAAGTGGCTCCAGGTCTTCATCCAGGGTTTTATCATTTTATCTTGTCATTTGGCCCACTAATTGTGTTCAATTTTTCATTATGTTATTTTGCACTGTTTAATTTCTTCTTGTTACTTTATGTATTTTATTGTGATGTAATTTTTCGTTGTTTTGTATTTTATTTTGCTGTATTGTACTTTTGGGCTTGGCCTCATGTTAGCCACCCCGAGTCCCCTTGGGGAGATGGTGGTGGGGTATAAATAAAGATTTATTATTATTATTATTATTATTATTATTATTATTATTATTATTATGGCCAAGCCAGCAATAAGCTCCTTGGGCACATGGCCGGCCCAGAGAGAGAGGCAGACACCACACTCGCACTGAAACTACATTCTAGGAAATGTAGTTTAGGGCAGAGTCTTTTGAATTCTTTGCCACAAGGGTTCTCGCCTTCCCAATCTTCATTTCTCAGAATTCTGCTTACCGCCATGTCTGGCCTCCTCCTCCTTCTCCTCCTCCTCCTCCTCCTCCTCCTCTCTGAAAGTTTTGGTGGGGGAACTTTGTCTCTAAAGGAATTTAGAGATAAAAAGAGATTGTTGGGAGTTGAATCAACTCTGTGAAGTAGAGAAAGTTGAGAGGCAGTAACTCCAAAGTTTACCTAGTAGGTTTGTTGTTGAATCAACTCTGTGAAGTAGGCAAAGTTGAGAGGGATAACTCCAAAGTTTACCTAGTAGGGTTGTTGTTGTTGTTGTTGTTGTTTCAAAGGCTGTATTGGCATCTGTTCGGGGTGGTTTGACTGTGCTTTTCCTGCCTGACAGAAGGGAGTTGGGCTGGATGGCCTCTGGTGTCAGATGGCTGGATGGCCATCTATCAGGGATTCCTTGGCTTTTCCTGCATGGCAGGGCGTTGGAGTAGATGGCCCATATGTTGTCTTCCAACTCTAAGATTCTATGATTTGATAGTGTAGACATTCCCATGATGTGTTAAGATTCAGTTAGGATTTAAGTGTGCTAAATATATAGGGTGGGATTCTGTATTGCAATGATGGATTTGAAACCCAGAGTTATGGATCCACAACTGATTCAAATTCATAAATATTGCATACATACTCACAATCGTGGCACTATTTCCACAATAGTAAAAGTTCACCACAATACCTTAATGACCACCAGCCACTGCATGCTACAGATGTCTGTTCTGAAACCTAAGAAGGTCTGTTCCCCTGTCAGCTGGGGTGCAGCACATTGGTGTTTCCATCATTCTGTCAACTGTTATCTCTAATGCAAAGGTAAATTGTGACTAGAATCCTTCTTTTTGTTGTCACACTGCAGATTGCTGGTAGTAAAAAGAGAGAAATGCCAGTCTGCTTCACTCAAATTGACAGTAGAGCAGATGTCCACCTCTCACAGTGGCTGTCCAGATGAACAGGATCTAGGATCTGGGCTATAATCTTTATTTGTTTGTGAAGTTTCATATTTTTATATTATGCACACATGCCTATGAAATTGCTACAATGGTTCTAGGGGAGTAGTTGACTTCAGATAGTGGTTGTGATGGAAACAGTGATTCAGGGCTGGTACTGTCCATTGGAAGATATGAAGGAGTAAAGTCTCAAACAGAAACTACAAAGGGATTCAGAAGGTCCCTATATATTGTGCCATAGCAGCAGGACAAGAAA